CCATATGCAGCTTGCCTGTATGCAGCAATGGTCCCCCCACCCGTCATGGCACAGTGGCATGGACATGTTAGCCTTACTGGGACAAGGAGCACAGTAGCTCTGCCAAGGAACCTGTGCAAGCGGATTGCCCAGCTTCTGCATGAGACCTTTGAAGAGATCACTGAAGCCGATTACCGCGATGTGAGAGAGCACATCAACGCTCGATTCCGCATCTAGGCATGCATGTAGCTCTAACCCTCCTTGCCCCAAGAGCCCACACCTAACAACTTCCTTCCCAAAATAAAAGTCGCTTACCGGGCACCTCCTCTGGTGTTTGTTCTTCCCCAAGCACCATTGGCTGCGACTGTCTACCTTGCTCCTGGCTTGAAAACAGCTCCTGGCTGCATTCATCTAGGGATGCCGGGCTGTCTCCCTCCTCCTCAGCACCCTCGCTCCCGCTTTCCTCCTCCTCCTGCCTTGTTGAACTGGGCTCTGAAGTGTCCATGGTGCTCTTCAGAGTGGAAGTGGGGTCGCCCCCAAGTATTGCGTCCAGCTCTTTGTAGAAACGGCAGGTCGTGGGTGCAGCACCGGAGTGGCAGTTTGCCTCGCACACTTTGCAGTAGGCATTCCGCAGCTCCTTCACTTTAACGCTGCACTGCCGTGCATCCCGGTCATGGCCCCTTTCCATCATGTTCCTTGATATCTGCCCAAAGGTATCGTAATTCCTACAGCTGGAGCGCAGCTGGGACTGGACAGCTTCCTCCCCCCATACACTGATGAGGTCCAGCACCTCGCCAGTGCTCCATACTGGGGATCGCCTGGCACGTGTAGGCATGGTCACCTGGAAAGATTCGCTGAGAGCACTCCCCGCCTGGCTGAGCAAGCGTTATGCTTCTCGTGGAGGTGGATTACCAGGAGCGCTCCAGCCATGGAGTCCGGGTGCTCTACGTGCCTTGCCAGTGTGGACGCGTCATGAATTAGTGTGCCCGGGGCTGCTTTAATGAGCTCTAACTCGCAAGTGTAGCCAAGCCCTTAAATTCCCACTGCACTTTCAATTGGATATAGGGTGACCAGACAGCAAGTGTGAAAAATTGGGACAATGGGTGGGGAGTAATAGGCACCTATATAAGACAAAGCCCTGAATATCGGGACCGTCCCTATAAAATTGGGACATCTGGTCACCCTAATTGGATACCAGATTGTTCTTAACTGTTGTGCGGAGTTGCTCTGTGACGTAAAACAGCTGCTGTGTCCCACCTTCAGAGGCTGCTGTATTTCAGTGGTAGCTGAAATGATCCCTTGCCAACCACAGAAGGGAGCTGGTGAGGCAGCTGTGAACTCTGTTCCTGCTTCTTCCACTGAGTTGCTGAGTGATCATATAGGCAAGTCACTTAGTCTCTCTGAGCCCCAGTTGCTCCATCTGTAAAAGGGATCTATTCTCAGGGGAATTAGTAGGCTTAATTATGGTTTGTGTGAAAACGGTTCTGAGGAACTCTGATGAAAAGTGCCACAGAAGTGTGCAGAGTACTAATATTCTTTTAGAGCCTGAAACAAAGCCCTTTGAAGTCAATGGAAAAGTTTCTATTCACTTCAATGGGCTTTGAATCAGAGCTTAAGCCTTCACTTATTCGGTTGCACACACTTACTACTTCTTTTACTCAGTTTCAATGTCATAATCTAGTTATAGCCTGAGAATTCCAAGGGGAAAAAATTATTCCAATCAAAGTGTTGGGGTTGTTTAAGTTTGTAGAAATTAGAATTCCAAACGTTGTCTTTGAATTTAGCAGTGACTTTATAACACAGTAGTATCCAAAAGTCGCAGCAAAAATCAGACCCCACTGGGTTGGTCACTGTACAAATATCAAATAAAAAATAGCATCTACCCCCAATGAATTTACAATCTAAATAACAGAGGTCTACTGTCATTCTGAGCTGGCTAGGCATGAACAGGTTAAACTTCTAAAGGTGCAAGATGGATTTCTTTTTGCACTATCTAAAAAAAAAACGGTCACAGACAGTTAGCCACATTAGAGGAGTACTAAGGAGCACATCTGCAAGCTAAGCATACATACCTTCTGCCTGCCTGCTTGTCCATGCCACAGCCCCTCTTTGTGCAGTCACAGAAGATTCCACAAGTGCTGACTTTTGAATCCCCGTTACAAACAAAGGTTTCAGGAGGAAGCAAAAACCCTCCATCAGCCAGGTACGTCTAATATGTTTATTGTTTTACCCAAACAAACCCTGGGTTCCAAAGTTAGAGAAAGCTTTGAGAAATGTTATCTACATGCTTCACTAGTTGGCTGGTTTAGACTAGAGCTGTCTGGGGGGTCCAGATGGGAATCTGATCCTAAAGAATTTAGGAGCCACATTTGCTTCTCAGTCTACAAATCTTGGGTGTGTGCTGTGGGGAGTTAGCCCCAGCTCCTTCAGAAGGCCCTGGGTTAATCTTTTTGAAGAAAATGCTGCAATGGCAGAATCATCAGAGAGGAAAATAAAATGTAATTTTGCAAAGTAGCTTTTAATCCCTGCACTAAGCACCTGTGTTCCTGCCAAGATACCAGTGATTACAGACTGATGGGAGAATTTGAGAAACAGCAGAGGGAGCATTTACAAATTAAGACTCAATGTTACCCTGGGATCTAATCTCTTAGAGAGTCAGCAGTCTAACATTCTAATAAAAGCTATTGAAATAGCAAATAAAGTGCTTTGCAAATCTGTTTGTGACTAGAAGCTGAGTTGGTTCACTAGATTCATGGGGTCATATCATTCATTACTTGCAATTTAGTATCCAGACAGCTACCAGGTATTTGTGAAAACAGCTGTGGGTACTAAACGTTTTATGAATTTTAGCCAAATGATTATATATTTGAAAATTCATATTAAATAGCGATGTTTGTTATTCATTATCCTCCTGTTTAAATTGCTTCAGTCATCGACTTGGAGAGCAGAAACATTATCATGTGACTTAGGTGATCAATCAAACAGGGTTTATAGTCAAAGAGGACACAGTTAAGGGAAAAAAAGAGTTATCTGAAAACTATACATCCCAAGTTTTTCAATGGCTATTTCTGAAAAAACAAAGACATTTTTGCTGGACATGTTGGTAACACAGGCTCCCCACTAGGTTCTAACACAATCCCCACAACACGATTTTAAAGGTGCAGATCTGTATCTAGTAGGCACGACAGGAGGTTTCAAATCATTTTAGCCAACTCAGTTTTAAAAAGCACCTTTATTCTTTATCCTCATGTAGACAGACTCCTATTTGACAGACAGACTCCACTCATTCTCCCTTCTCAATCACATCAAATCCAAGCTTCTTGTTAACCACTTTCTATACCCTACACAGTATTGCCAGTCCCAAGCATTCAAAAATCATGACTCAAGCCCCAAAAATGCATAAGATTTTAAAACATAATATATTCAAGGTTCTTTTTATTTCTCTTCTGGCTTTTGAGCCTTTAGCGTTCACACAGATCACGCTCTCACAATTTTCTTGCGACTATAAGGGCTACAAACTTATTTTTTCTTTTAAAATGAAAAATGAGATTCTCATCAAACCACCTGTCGTGGAGCTGGGGCTTTAATAAAAATCCTAGATAGCATGAAAATCATAAGATTTGGCAACACTGCCTACATAACTCTGCCCCACCCCCCTTATTTGTCCTTGTCTCTTATAGTTAAGGCTAAGATTTTGTCAGGGATATTTTTAGTAAAAGTCAGGGACAGGTCACGGGCAATATAGAAAAATTCACGGAAGCCCGTGACCTGTCCCTGACTTTTACTAAAAATATCCCTGACAAAATGGGGAGCCCAGCTGTGGGGGCTGCACCAAGCTGTGGGGGCTGCTCCAAGCTCTGGGTGCCCACACTACCTGTGGGGACTCAGAGCTCCAGGATTCCCAGCCTCAGAGCTCCGGGGTACCCCCGCCACCTGCAGAGACTGGGAGCTCTGAAGGACTCCTGGGGCCCACGGCATCTCAGAGCTGGGGGGCCCCCACCCCCCGTGTCAGCCGGGAGCTGCGGGAGCCCTGCTGCGGCTAGGAGCTGTGACCCCACCGCCACCGCAAGTGGCAGGGAGCTCTGGGGGGCCCAACTGCCTGTGTTGGCCGGGAGCTGCGGCTGCCCATAGAGGCCAGGAGCTGTGGCCCCGCCACCCACGGCAGCTTGGATCTGCAACACCGCTGCCCATGGCAGCTGGGAAGTCCGTGGGGCCCCCGGCACCCACGGCCACATGGAGCTGCAGGGTCTCCCCACCACTCACTGAGGCCAGAAGCTGTGGCCTCACTGCCCATGGCAGTTGGGAACTCCGGGGGACCCCGGCACCCACAGCCGCAGGGAGCAGCGGGGGGACTCTGCAGCTTCCGGCCAACAGGGCTGAATTCATGGAGGTTGCTGGAAGTCATGGATTCTGTGACTTCCGCGACCTCCATGAAAAAATTATAGCCTTATCCTATCTCCTAGAACTGGAAGGGACCTTGAAAGGTCATCGAATCCAGCCCCCTGCCTTCACTAGCAGGACCAAGTACTGATTTTTGCCCCAGATCCCTAAGTGGCCCCCTCAAGGACTGAACTCACAACCCTGGATTTAGCAGGCCAATGCTCAAACCACTGAGCTATCCCCCTTAGTTATGGTGTCCTTCCCACCCCATCTTGTGCTCCACCTGTGGTGCCAGGACAAATGCTCATTTGTCCATTTCCCCCCCGCAATCATCTTCCACCTTGCCCCCTACCCATGGAACACATCCATGGAACACTCCTGACCCACCACCCTCTCTTCTTATAAGAAACCTTTCTCTCCTTTACTCATTAAACCACTCACTTATGCAGAGTGCAAGTTCTAATGTTGGAAGTGAGGGGTGTGAGATCTCTGGAATTTAAGCTAGTAATTGCTGTTGGGAGATGACAAGGGATAAGGGAAATTAAGTAGGTTTATTTAACAAAATAATTTGTAACCAACAAGTTTTGTTTCTGACAAGGTTTGTGTCTATCATCACCTCAATCAATCTACCTGTGTTCTCCATGTCCACTGAAGGTAGGACAAGAAGAAATGGGCTTAATCTGCAGCAAGGGAGATTTAGGGTAGATATTAAGAAAAACTTTCTATCTACAAGGGTAGCGAAGCACTGGAATAGTCTTCCAAGAGAGTTTGTGGAATTCCCATCACTGGCGGTTTTTAGGAACAGGTTACATAAATACCTGTCAGGGATGGTCTACATATACTTGATCCTGCCTCAGTGCAGGGGTCAGGCCTTGATGATTTCTCGTCCCTTCCAGCTCTACATTTCTATGATTCTATGACTGAATAGCACAATCCTGTTATGACAAAAGGATGCTGCAAATAAACTGGTCAGTCTTTTCCATCTCTAATTTCTCTGATCCCCGGAGGTAAATGGAAGAATGGACCCTTCAGTGTTATTTTCCAACATGTTTTGTAAATTTATACATTATTTTAAACTGAGGTTTTAGAATAAAGAAAGCAAATGCTAAACATTCGATTAGAACCTGTCTCAAAGAAGCAGGTGGTGAATGACAAAGGCAAATAACAAATACAAACAACAAAGAAATTGAGCATAATATGAAAACAAACAAAAAACATCTTGGGATTTTCAAACCAAACAGAAGGTGATTAGCTACTGATACACTGGGTCAAATTCCTCCCTGAACTACTATGACCTCATCCTCTAGGACCTTCATAACACCCACATGGTGACATTAAATCTGACATGAATTTGGCCCATACATTTAAATAAATGTTACAGTATTTTTATTGCGAATTCTCAAATTTCTCAATGTTCAACTGGATTTTCACTGAGAAATATTACAGTACATCAGGTCTTGTGTGTGTATGGAGAACAGAGTCATTTTTGGATCGCCTGGTCTTAAATGTTTCCTCACTCGCAGACTCCAGATTATTGAATAGGGCTTGTGGATTACAATTCACAGCCCAAGCATTTTATTTATTTTGCCACAAGTATCTTTCTGATGCCTGGATGGGCCAGTATCATGTTTATGCCAAGTTCAGTCCATATTCTAAACAATATGACTAGGGGGAAGAAGGAAAAATGTACAAAACTGAATTTTCCCACCAGCATATTGGTCTTTAAGTTTTTGTAACCCAGACCAGGGGTTCTTAACCTTTTTCTTTCTGAAACCTCCCCCCCTCCCATGTTATAAAACCTCCACGGCCACAACAACTATTTTTCTGCATATAAAAACCAGTGCCAGCGTTAGGGGGTAGCAAGCAGGGCAGTTGTCTGGGACCCCGTGAAGCTAAGCTGCTCAGGCTTTGGCATAAACTCCAGGTGGCAGGGCTGAGGGTAAGGGCTTCAGCCCTGCACGGCTGGACTTTAGCTTTCTGCCCTGGGCCCCAGTGAGTCTAACACCGGCCCTGGTTGGCAGACCCCCTGAAACCTGCTTGTGGCCCCCCCACAAGAACTGCTGACTCAGACTACATGGAGCTTCCTTGTGCTCTGCCCCCTTCCCTGCTCACAGCATGTACACTGTGCAAAATAGGGCAAGGAAAATAAACCAGTCTCTGTGGCATCCAGAGTGTACTAGGAGCTTCAAGGAGAGAAATGGAGAGGAGATACCCGCTCCGCCTGGCCAGGAGTGCAGCCTACAGTGTGATATCTTCACGAACACTACCCTGGGGAAACTAAGGCACAAAGGCAGCAAAGTGACTTGCCCCCAGTCACAGAATAGGTCAGCATCAGAGCCAGACGCAGAGCCCAGAGCAGACCGAACCGCCCTGCCTCCGGGACAATGCACGCTGCGATCTGGAGCTGGGAGGCGGTCCAGCAGCCATCCCTGCCCCTGACATGATGTTGACAAACACATGGAGGGATCCCCCCCCATTTACCCACCCCCATGCCCTGGCGCGTCTCCCGCGCCCAGATGGGTCTGCAGCCTCCCTCCTCTCCCATCTCACGGCTTTCACCAGACCTCTGCTCTCTAACGAGCCTGCAGCCTAACCCTTCACACCCCAACTCTGACAACTCCCCTACCTGAAACCCACTCTGCGGAGGCCACGGCAAATCGGCAACGTACTCGGGCTCAGGCAGCTGCTGGGAAATGTAGTTCCCTCCGCTGGGCAGTTCCCTATTGGGAGATTGACGCTGCCGAGAGAGAAAACTCCAGTTCCCAGAAGGGGTGTGATTCCAAGTGTCTCTTTAAAAGCAATCCCGGCTGGCAGGCAGTGTAGGTGCAGAATGGTTCTGCTAAAGGGTCTATAGGGGTTGGGGATGTGAACAGGTAGGGGAAAGAGTCCCCTCTTTATTAACATTTGAAATACCAGCAGTAATTAAATACAACAAAACCTGACCTCAGCAACCAACCAAGCAACAGGCTGAGATTAGTTACTTAGTATGGTGTCCATTTAAAGATCAAACTAACAGCTCAGGGAAGGCCTGGTTCTCCCACCTTTACCCACAAAAGTGGTATTTGCTCAAGTGAGTAGTGCCAATCAATCAATGGCGTAAATATTACTTAACATATGCGAAAGTTATGGAATCCAATCCAGAGTTACTATCCAAACACCAAATTCAACCTATGAATACATTTTAAGGAAATATTTTATTTATGCTCAGCCTGGTTCAATTATAGAACAACTTGAAACTACATCTCGGAGAAGCTTATGTAGTGAACCATGATACGGTAGTTAGCACTAGGTACAAAAAAACCAGGACACCTGGGATGATCCTGAGCCCATAAAACTGGACAGTTGGGAGTGTGTACTGGGCACCCTTTCAGATTTCCCAGGGCTGCTATGTTAAAAAAAGGATGATTCTGGGAAAACCTGGATAGGTGGCAACCCTTGTTAGAGTCCAGCAAATAAATTCATAACAAATTTATTTTGCAGGAGAGTCAGGTGGAGAGAGGAGATTTCTGTAGATTGTGATTTACTCAGCTTAATTTGTTTTTCAAAATGCACCAAATAATTTCTGTGACTAATTCTTGGTCTATATAGCTCACCTATAGTGTTGATATTCAAACTGCAAACTTTTAATTGAACACATGGGTCACATGGTATGTTTCTATTCTCCGACTGGGCATGGCTCTGAGAATCATGTTTCTGGTTCAGATAGTCATGATTACTAATTCAGAATCTGCCTTTCTTGAACATTCTGCATTATTCACCCTTTCAGTGAACATTCTCCCCCCATTCCCTCTGTTATACTTGTTACCTAGTAAGTTCACAGAAAAAGGGTCACAAATGCAGTCAAATATTCAGAGGGGTATATTTTTTTTACAATATTCACCCAGTTCTGGGATAATTCCTTATTTAGACCTTAATAGCTCTTATATTGCACTTTTCATTTGTAGATCTCAAAGCATTTTACAAGACTGAGTAAATATCATTACTCTATTTTATAGGTGAGGAAACTGAGGTACAGAATTGACATGGCTTGTCCAAGGTCACACAGTCAGTCAGTTGCCTAGCTGATTACCTTGACATTGTTTAAAGGATGCCTGATATGGTTTTCTGTATCTTTTTTTTTCAGATACTGATAGTACCATGACGCAATCACCAGACATAATGTCCCTGCAGATGATATCAGCTATTAATAATTCATCCTTGATTCAGCCAGGCTTTTCTCTGCTGAATTTTGATGGGCAGGTTTTTTTTTTTGGACAGAAAGGCTGGCCAAAGAGATCTTGCCCCACTGGAGTTTTTCTCCTTGACTTAAAAAAAAATGAACTCAAATTGAAGCCTGCATTTTTCTCTAAGGATTCCTGCTATCTTCCCCCTCTCCGTTACCCTGCTGTCTGCCCTCTCAGGGGCAGAACAGAGTCTGAGAAATGCCAGTATGTCATCCATGGTGGGAAAACACCAAACAATGAACTATCTGATAAGATTTATGTTATGGGTATAGCATGCAAGCCTGGCAAGAAAATCACCTTTAAATGCACGGAGAAAGAGTTAGTTGGGGATGTTCCTGAAGCCAGATATGGCCATACCATTAATGTAGTTCATAGCCGAGGTAAAAGCATGAGTGTTATATTTGGGGGAAGGTCATATATCCCTCTTGGACAAAGAACCACAGAAAAATGGAATAGTGTAGTAGACTGTATGCCCCATGTGTTTTTGGTTGATTTTGAGTTTGGATGCTGTACCTCATACGTCCTTCCAGAGCTTCAGGATGGACTTTCTTTCCATGTCTCCATTGCCAGAAATGATACCATCTACATCCTAGGGGGTCATTCTCTTGAAAATAACATCAGACCCCCCAACCTATACAGGCTAAAAATTGACCTGCCACTAGGCAGCCCAGCTGTGAGCTGCACCATCTTGCCTGGGGGGATCTCTGTCTCCAGTCCTCTTGTGACTCAGACTGGCGATAAAGAGTTTGTCATGGTTGGGGGCTACCAGTGTGACAACCAGAAGAGGATGTTTTGTAATACAATCTCTTTAGAAGATAACAACATAGAGATTGTGGAAAGGGAGACCCCAGACTGGACACCAGATATTAAACACTGCAAGATATGGTTTGGTAGTGATATGGGTAATGGGGCCATATTGCTTGGTATACCAGGGGACAACAGGCAACTAATTTCAGATGCAAACTACTTTTACATTTTGAGATGTGGAGAAACAAGAGAAGATGACGAGGAGGCGGCACAAACTTGCAGTCAGACATCTACAGAAGACCCAGGGGACTCCACTCCATTTGAAGATTCAGAGGAGTTCTGTTTTAGTGCCGAAGCCAATCGTTTTGACGATGATGATATTGACACCTATAACGAAGATGATGAAGAAGATGAATCAGAAACAGGCTACTGGATCACCTGCTCTGCCAACTGTGACATTGACATCAACACTTGGGTCCCTTTCTATTCGACTGAACTGAACAAGCCAGCTATGATCTACTGTTCCAATGGAGATGGCCATTGGGTCCATGCTCAGTGTATGGACCTGTCTGAGGGCATGCTCATACGTCTTTCAGAGGCAAATGTCAAGTACTTCTGCAATGAGCATGTTGATCTTGCTAGAGGGCTGCAAACACCGAAGAAGGTTCTGCCTGTGAAAAAACAACCCATGAAACTACTGCGCAGAAAAACATCCATGAAGTTAGCAACTCCAGTGAAAAAATCTTTTCTTCGGAGGTTATTTGAGTAGATTTGAGCTAATGATTAAGGTTCAGCTAGGATTAAATGAAGAAATCACAAACCAAGGATAGTTAATGATGGTTGCAACAGAATTTAATATTAGAGCTCCTAGTGGTGTTTTATTTTATTAATTTTAATTATTAGATTATTTCAGTTTAATGTAGCTCACAAATCAATGTTTATTATGTGTATTGTAGTAGCTTTCAGTGGTCCCAATCAAGATTAGTGCCCCATTGTGCTGGGCACTATACAAACACATAGGATCATATTTAGATAGCCTTCCTCAAATAGAATAGTACAATTACTTCATAAATATCCCCATTGACTTTACAGAAACTATTTGAAGAGTAAGGCACTACCCTGTGTGAATAATGATGTAGACTCTGATCCATAGGAAGCACAGTGTTACCCATTTTGCTTTTGCAAATCAATCTACTCAATCAATAGAACTAGAAATATCAGGTCTAATTTATGATTGCATTGCTCCAGTTTTACACTGGTCTAATGAATTAAAATCAGATGACTTAAACTGATGTTAAATTGGAGTAAAGCCGTGTTAGTTCAGGCCCATTGTGTCAAAAATATGAAGGCAGTTTTCAAAGGGGCTCTCTAATTTGGGACGCCTCTATTTTGGGGTGATTAATTTTGGACCTAATTTTGATTTTGAGAGGTGCTGGGCAGCCACAGATCAGCGCCAGCTGGAGTTGTGGAAGCTCAGCTCATCAGAAAATCAGGCCACTTATTTAGGTGCCGAAATACTTGTTTTGTTTTCATTTTTCAAGGTGGGTCTCATGGACAGGCCCTCCCCATGTAAGAAAGATCAATTTGTTCAGCCTGCCATTTGTGTTTGTATTTTAAAAAGTATAATGAACTAATAAAGTTTATAATAAAAATGGCCTTTACCTTTGTTTCCACCTATTATGTGGGTAGCTAAGTACTGTGAATCTCAGGTTGGAAATAGCTCTGTCTTCATTTGCAAACAATGACTTTAACTGGTATAGTATATATGTCTGAGATGCCTATGTGAAGTCTGATAAAGAGCCTGATTCTGCAGCCGCTTCTTGCCCAGAATTCCCATTGACTTCAAAAAGAGTTCCTCACATTGAACAGGACTTTTATCATTTCCCTTGGGTCCACTGCTACCCTGCTATTTCTTTACCCTGCCCCCTGCCCCGGGGTGACTCTGCAGGTGTGAAAGTATTGAAATGTAGACTGTAGCTCATAGTGGTTCATTTTGCCAATGGGCCATTGTGAGGGGTGGAAACTAATACCGTTGTGTGCTCAAAGCAGAATGAATTCAGATGGCAAAAGTCACTGTCAAGGTTGACTGGCCCAATATTTTATTAACTTTTTGTGGTGTCTTGGATTACCTGTTTGTAAAGTCCCTGTAAGTCTTAAATTTATTTTATTTTACTTTTGTTACTGTTCCAATTCACTTAAAAAAAAATCAATATAATCAGATCAACACTTGTGAGCCTACGATACTAGAGCAGTGTGTTCATAGTTCAACTCGCATGCCTGGCCCTTGGATAAAAAAGAAAAACAACATGAGCAGGCCAGTACTCTTGAGCAACCTGTGCAGCTCTGGCCACGTGCAACCCTTACAAACCAGTATATGTAGTCAAACATTCCTGAGCAACCCTATAGTCACCAAGGAATGCTCACAGCACCACACTCATGTCCAATCCTACAATAACAATCAGTATGCACATAAGCAATAGAGGAAAGCAAAGATCTACAATAAACCAATGTCAGTTTCCAGCTTCTAAGTGTGTTGGGGGGCTGCAGTGCAGAAACTCAGAAGTGAGTCAACCTGATTCTCCTCTCACACTAATTTTACACTAGTGTAAGTCCATTGGCTTCAATGATGTTACTCCTTTTTCATGCCAGCATAAATGAGAGCAGAATCAAGCTCAATATGTTGTTCCAAAGAACATGAAATATATCCCTTAAAATTGGTAGAAATTTGGCTGCCAAGATCCATATTCTGTAGGGCAGATTCTACTCTGCTAAGGCCACACTATTCTGGAGACATAAAGAGCCAGAAACAATCTCCAGGGACTAACTCTAGCACATAGAGTGGCATAGGTGACTTTTGCCACACTGCCACCATCACATCCTGCAGCATGAGATCACATCAGAGGAATGATTAATGGTAGAAGGGGTCATGGCCAAAGTCCTCTGTTCTCAGGCTATTCTGAACTACATAGCAGCCCATTGATAGACATGAAGAGGCTTCAATATGTTAGAATAGTCCCTGTGGTTGCTGAAATTTACACTGGGGTCTACATCAGCTTCCAAAGCACTATATAATATGGAAGACTAGAATCTGCCAGGCACAAAAAATGGCTTACAGCCACCTTTTGTTTAGTCACCGCCCTGTGCCCCTCCACTCCCGGGATGTGCCTTCTGAGAAAAATAGCACAGAAGCTGGCCTTATCACTTGTCCAGCCAGGGGCCCAGTCCATTGTACTAATAAATTGTATATTTGTGTTGCCTTTTTAAAATATGCATTTATTTCAAATAGAGAAGAAAATTGCTAAGTGAAACCATGAGTCCAGCTTGGATGTTAGAGGCAGCTTAACAGGTATCAAATCAGAAATCAGAAAATACAATTACTGCAGGAGAAGGAAGTCATAAGCAGTATAAAATATAATATCCCAGATGGACTGAAATAAGAGATCAGTGGTCATTAGTCACTATTGTGAAGATGCTTAACATAGCATTCAAGATTAGAGAATATACCGCATATACGCGTTCATAAGCCGAATATTTTTGGTAAAAAAGTGACGCATCAAAGAGTGGGGGTCGGGTTATAAATGGGTCTACACCAAAATTTGATGATTTTAAACTCTATGGAATCATTGAATTGAATATCTAATACATTGTCGTTTTGTTTACCTGGAGCGTCTGCAGGCATGGAGCCCCTCAGCTCCCATTGGCTGGGAACGGCGAACCAAACCACAGGGAGCTGAGGGGCTCCATGCCTGCGGACACTGCAAGTAAACAAAACATCCCGACCCGCCAGCGGCTTACCCTGTTGGGCTGGTAGCCAAAGTTTTCCAACCCCTAAAATATAGGGTCGGCTTATGAAAAGGTCATACAGTTTTTGCTGTTTTTACCTATCCATTTTGGGGGGTCGGCTTATAAACGAACGGGCTAATGAACGAGTAAATACGATAATTGATTTTGTGCTGTCTCCAATGCCACTGGAAGGCAGATGTGTGCTGTGAAAAAGTGCTGATTGGTTCCAAAAGATGGATAATCAATAGAAAGTATTCCTTCTTCATAGAGGGTTGGTTAAGAAGATAAAATATAGCAGATATTAATGTATGGGTAAGTAAACCTCTTTCACATCTGCATCTATCTGACCTCTGTGTTTTGTAACAAGTATGGGCAATATCATGATCTCCAATCTCATTTTAGGGACATGATTTTGCTATTGGCTTTCAAAAGACTCATTCATGGATTTTAATGTTTATGAAAGGGACCTGGAGTCTGACATGTCTTCTATCTATAGAACAGGTACAGCATAAATAGTGGTAGTGCAGGCTTCCAAGGCACATCTCTCTGCTTTACACATCTTCTGTAAAGAATCTATGTGTTACAGACAAAACAATCAGGCATAGTTTTTAAAAAATGACTAGTGATTATGGGTACCTCCACTATTGGGTACCTAACTTGAGACATTTAAGAAAGATGTGGACAAATTGGAGAGGGGCCAGAGGGGAGCAACAAAAATGATAAAAGGATTAGAAAACTTGATCTATGGGGAAAGATTAAAAACACTGGGCATGTTTAGTCTTGAGAAAAGAAGACTGTGGGGGGACCTGATAACAGTCTTCAAATATGTTAAGGGCTGTTATAAAGAAGATGGTGATCGATTGTTCTCTGTGTCCATTGAAGGTAGGACAAGAAGTAATGGGCTTAATCTGCAGCAAGGGAGATTTAGGTTAGATATTAGGAAAAACTTTCCAACTATAATGATATTTAAACTCCGGAATAGGCTTCTAAGGGTTGTTGCGGAATCCCTGTCATTGGAGGCTTTTAAGAACAGGTTGGACAAACACCTCTCAAGGATGGTCTAGGTTTACTTGGTCCTGCCTCAGCACAGGGGAGCTGGACTAGATGGCCTCTCAAAGTTCCTTCCAGCCCTACATTTCTATGATTCTATTATTTTTTAAAGGGAACTGACTTCTGAGAAATTGCTAAGCACCAGCCCTCTGAAAATCAGGCCCCATTGCCATTAAGGCATCTCAGTTTGGGGCTCAAAAATTGAGGCTCCCAAACTCACTAGTCACTTTTTGATAAATATAGGCCCCAATTAGTTTATAAACCTCCATCTCTGACACACACATATATCTGTTGGGTGGGGTGGGGAGGCGGACACACAGAACTCTATACCACGTGAGCCAATAAACTTCTTTACCTCATAGCAATAGTAGGTACCTTAGCCTCTTTGTGGTGTACTCATAAACACAAAGCTAGCATGTTACACTGTCACAATGACTACCTTTTGGGGTGAAAAGGTAGTTCAAACTCCAAGCATCTTCATTTCTTGGTCCCTCTCCTGAGACTGCCAAGGGGGCCAATTACTGCTTTCTGAATGCTGTAGTTTTAAGATGTTGATATTTGTATGATGTAGACACTACTAAGAACAATTTGGCTTGATTTCAATGGTAATAAGCACCAGAGTTGTTGGGAGCTGCTGGTGCTCAAAACCTTTGCAAATCAGGTCAAATTTAATCAGGTCACCAAACATCAACTGGTGGATTTGAACCAGTGCCCTGGAGATGAAAGGGGCTCTACCTCCTTACAAGTGCTCTTTATCCTCCAGTTCCCCTATGATTCTGATGCTATAAGTATATGTGGAAAGTGAAACCCAGACAAGGGATTAAGCTAATCCAAAATCTCAGGAGACTCATTGGACTATGTTTTTTAACATGGCCTCAATTTTTCCACCCACCATTTTGTGTCAAATGTCAATTGAAAGTATAAAATTGAAGGTAC